ATGATAATGATTTACTTTTATTAAATATGGTATATATATTTTTATTTTTTACAACATTTTTTTAAATTCAAATTTTTTGTCAAATGTAATAATTAACTAAAATGAAATTTCAATTTACATTAATTAAAAAGCCAAAGGCACTAAATAAAATATCAAAGGAATTTTGTATAAGTAAATATCAATATATGTTGGTGTTCATGAAATAGATTTTGGTATTGAGTAATTAGAGTAGGTATGTTGAAAGCAGGAACAACATAGTATGAGAATTGAATATTACAGTACTAAGTAAAAAGACAAGTGATTGTATGTTAACGAATGGTATTCTGTTATCACTGTTACGTTAATACAAATGGTTACATATTTCAGCATTGTTACATGCATAAATCATTCCTAAATTGGCACTTATGGATCATGTATTTTTGTGCACTACTTTTGTAGGATACATATGTAGCTGAGTGCTCCATTACACATGGGTCAGACTCAACTTCATGCCCGCCAAGAGATAATGATGCATGGGCAAATGCTATTGGGGGATGTCATAGCAACTTCATGCTCGAGATTAGGTCACAGGTCAACCTAGAGGATATTGGATTTACCTATAGAAAACGAGGGCCAACAAAGAATTCATATATGAGTTTGATGATATCTGACCTTGTTGAAAAACAAGCACAGGACCGGGAGACAATGGAAAGGATGAGGACGGAAATAGACCATGTGAAGGAGGAAAGAGAAGTAATGAAACGCATGATGGAAGAGATGGGCAGGATGCAGTCATGTCTGTCACAATAGTTTGCAACTTTTAACGCATATGGGATGCGCCCCCTACGGTTGGCCCATCATTTCCTCAAGCTAAGCAAGCATTCCTCCTACTGGGACATCCTTTTACAAGAAAAAGGGTATTTCTCTCAAATCTCTATAAATGTGAAGAAAAAAAACAAGAAAAAGAGGAGAGAGTTAAAGTCGAGAGGGAGATGTCACTATTTTTTTTAAATAATAAATTATTACAAATAAGTAGTATTTTCTTTTTGAATATTAAACAAATCAATAAAATCCATATTGCCAATTGCATTATGTATATTTTTATAGAAAATAAAATTTTTAAAACAAAATAAATCAAGCATTAAATTTAACCAATATGAGAACTCAAGTTCTTATTATTATATTGCCATTGGATTTAAGATCTTTAATAAAAAAAGTGAAATTCTTAATGAATTTTTCTATTTTGTGTTCTTAGGTGCACTAAATGTATTTTTTTTTATAATTAATTTTTATTAAAAGTATAAATATTGACTTTAATTTAATCATTAACTAATTAAAATTATCAACATATTAATAATGTTAAAATATATATTAATTTTTATAATTTTTAATGTAAATTAACTATAAAAAAATATATTTATTGTATTTTTAACATGTGCCTTAAAAGTACATGTTAGATAAATCCATTCTTAATTACTAAAACTTTATTTATGGATATTTTTTGTTAAAGTAATAATAAATCCATTAATAAATGAGAAAAATATATCAAGGAAAAGGAAAGGCTTATTGCCATTGGAAATCCTCCAACTTTGCAAAAGGACTCAATGTCATCCTTCTAGTTTAAAAAATACAAAAAAAATCCTTCAATTTTGGAGAAAGTGCCAAGCATCATCCCATTCGTTGACGGACGTTATAACACCGTCCATTCTTCCAAATTAACAATTGTTAGTCCCTCAACTTTTGGTTTCAATGCACTTTGATCCTCAAACTTTAAATTTATTCAATGTGGTCCCAATTTCAACTTTTCTTATTACATTTTAGTCCTAAAACTTTTGAAAGAGTTATACTTAAAGTTCCAAAATTTCTAATTTCATGTTTCCAGCCTTTTTTTTTTTTTTTGTAAAAATAAAAAGAAAATATTCAAAATTCAATAAAATCACATTTAACTCATGAAAATATATGAATCAGTAAATGGGCAGTAAATGGGTGTGTGGGAGGTGGCAATTTGAAATTTAGCAATATTCTCCACGTCAGTGATGAGGCATGATGGTGCAAATTGCAATCACTTTTACCAACATGGAACACGTTGCTGATTGAAGAGCAAACCTTTTAGCAACATGAGACATGATGCTAAAGGTTCTTTATATACTCCACTGCCATCCCCCCGCCCCACATCGAGCTAATCTCCTCCATTTTCATTCTTCCTTCTGCAATTCCTTCTATATGCATGATGTGCTGGTTGAATGCCTCCTCCATTTCTCAACATTTTCTTTCCTTAATTATTGCATAAATCCTCCACATCTCACTCATTTTTTTATACATTAATTATATTAGATATTTTTTT